ATGTTGCTTCGCTGATCCTCTGCACAAAAGAGACATACTAAGGTAAATAAGTGACTTGTAGAAGACCCTTTTCCCCAATTTTTTTGGTAGCGGTACTTACCCCAGTGTCCCTGAGAAAACTATAGGTAGCGAGCTCGACGATTCCTTTGCTACTCATGAGAAGCGAGAATGCGAGGGAGTCCTTAACTGGCATTTGACCTTGTACCGAGACCAGGAAACAGGACACTATCTTGGCACCCAAGGTTGCTAAGACGAGCAATACATCGATGATGATCAATTTCCTTTTGTGTTTCAGAGAGCTGAAATCAGTCCTCATCCCTGCGATTGCTACGAACAAGGGCTGAATGACGTAGGAGGTAATGCAGTCGAGTCTGTCTGCTAGAGCAGTACCAAGGGGAGGTCCTTCTGGTATGGCCAGACCCAGGATGAATGGTCCGAAGAGTGCATACTGGCCGAACAAGTGTGTGATTACTCCTGAAGCAAACACAACCACCATCATCCCACATATGTACTTCTCTTGGACCTGGCCACCCTTTGGTGTCTGGTCGATGATCCAGAACATGGCAGGGCGGAACACGAATGCAGCGAAGAAGATGAACATGGCAGTGTAGAGAATGAACCCGAATTGGCCAACAGATATGTGAACATCGGGGGAAGACATGGTAACTATGGTTGTCAGTGCCACACTACCCATATCCCCAACCATGGCTGCCGACAGCGTGAGGCGGCCCAGCTCTGAGTTCAAGATCTGGAGGTCGCCCAGGATTTTGGCTATCACCGGGAATGGGGTGATGGATACTATCAGAGTCACGAAGGGGAAGTTGTCGTCCAGGTCGTTAATTTTGAGTATCTTCTCGATCATGCTCTCTACGAACAGGCCAAAAACCAGAGGAGCGAGTACGGATAGGACCCCCACCAGAGTGGCTCTCTTCCCTGTGCTGAGCACCATTTTCACGTCCATCTTCACCGCGATTGTGAATATCAAGAGCATGTATCCTAGCGTGGCAACCAAACCAAGCACTTCTTGGCTCTCGATGGTGAACATGAGCTCCTTGAACTTGTCGTTGCCTCCTATGAACGATGGACCCAGCAAAATCCCCACCTGCCATGCATGGAACGGAGCCACCAATCGACCCGATCAGCCCATATATGGTAGGAAAATCAACATTCCGAGTCGATAAGGATTTGGAAACCATTACTTACAAGGAGTTGGGAGACGATGGTGGGAAGGCCGAGGTGGGCCAGGAGGAGGAGATGAATGGCTTGGGCGAAGAAGAATATGAGAACAAGTTGAAGCTGCAGCGTTGGCAGAGGATGCATGAGTATCTGTCGAGATGTTTGGTTCTGCCATACGCCGGAGAAATCGACATCTCGTGGGATCTGGGCGCAATATGTCCCCGGCGGCGTCTGGATTTCGAGCGGCATTGTTGTGGGGAATAATTTGCGAGGTTAGTGCTTGTTCCTCCCTCTCCTAGACTTTGCTGCTTTTGATTGAATCGCAGGTTTCGCGATTCTGTGCAGCTCCAGGAATGGATATGCCCAGGAGAGGGAGGAGATGGTGACGATCTTGGGAAGATTGCCAGAAAGTTTATATTGAAGGGGAATCATCTTTCTTTTCCCCATTTTTCTTCCACGGCGAATGGTTGGATTGTTATGAATTTGTTATGGCAGCTTGCAAGATTGTTTGCCTTGGAAGTGGGAGTGGTTTGTTTCAGCTGTTTGATGTTGTTTCCATCTGGCGCGTTAATTTTATCACGTAACTGGTCTTTAATAACCATTTAACGGTCATTTTTGTTGTGTACATTCTAGCTTACGGGCGTGATTTTGGAGAAAAGGTGGTTCTTTTACAGGTTCTGATTTATGATTATAAGACTTGACTTTTCAGACTTCTTTTGGACATGTTTGATAGGGAATGCTAATGCTAGTTTCCAAACTCGTCTCAGTTGATAATATGTTAATCGTTTAATTATTTTTTAACCAGGAGAAGATGATCAGGTATAACGGTTAAACTTAGGGTTATAGATTCCAATCACTTTCATAAAACCTATTTTATAAAAAAAAAAACTAAATCTATACCGATATAAAAAGAAAACAGTTAATTTGAGTTGATTATGTTAGTTAGGGGTTACTGTTATAATCTGGTTAATAGTTTTAGGGATGATGAAAATAACCATAATTATGAATACCTTCGTGAATCTGACTCGATCGGGTAAGGTAAGCTCGAACAAAATAAAAAAATCTGGTAGTATGGGGTAAAATTCTATCATGAATATCATAGATAATGGTCGCACTACCCAACCCAAGCTCGTCCATACATATGCAATGTTTTGGATAAATCGTCATTTTTTATTTCAACATATTCGGTATTTCTAATATATTTGCAGCATCTCATCAACCAGTGTTTTATTATTATTTCTCTTACTATTAATTTTCCACTTCTCTAATATTAATATACTTGTGATTACAATGGTTGAGAAACATAAAAAAAAATTATTGTTCGTGGATATTCATGGATATCCAAAACTCGATTGTTTATGGGTATGTTTTAATTAACTACCGTAATTTTGCATGTGTAGTATGAATAAAATCCAAACTAGTTAGGGTAAGGTAAAGATTTTAGTTGGAAATGGTTGGTCATGGAGTCAGCTTTAATTTCATGTAGAGGTAGGCTTGTTAGGTTGTTCGATTATGTGTACTAGTTTATCTGGCTCTTAGAATCAATTTGTGTGATTGCACTCTACTAGTCGGTTAGGCGATAACCAGATAACCGATATCATTTCATTTTTCGATTAACCAGCTAGACAGTGGTTTGGAGCGGTTAGTCCAAAAAAATTACTATTATATGTTACATTTGCAAATTACGCTAATACAGATGATGAGTTCGGTTGTTATGCACTCCCATCTTTTCAAAGACAGACTTCATATTTGTTTAGGATCTTGGCTCAAACTCAAACTAATGGAGGAAAACGAAGACGAAGCCAAATTACATATTCAAGGAGTCGTTGTTGTATAATAAAGGAGAAGAAAAATAGTTGACAAATAATGTAGTGAATCTGCACTAAGTGAGGCGGTGCATGGAGAAGAAGGACCCGACCCTGGTGTAACTGTCGAGCCATGGGATTTGACTGTCGAATCAAGTAGACAGTGAAGGTTCCGGTGGCAGAAGGGGTTACAATGTAGATGTGGGTTAGGATTTGCTTGGTAACGTAGTTATTGGAGAGAGGTAGGATTAGTGATTTGGGGTTTCGCTTGTTGTTCATGTTGGGACACACAGAAGAAAGGGAAGAGGGCAATGAGAAGAGTGATGAGTGCAAACTTGGTGAGGGAAGTTATTGATGGAAGAAATTTTGGCGAGATCTTTACAAATCTTTCCTCCAATCGAAGTCATATGATCTCCTCGATGCAACAGTGATGCCTACATTTCAAACCCATAGCTTGGGGGGTGCTCTTTGTCTCTTTCAATTTCAGGGTTCACAATGTACGGAAATTTGGGACATGGAGGATATTATTAGTTTGGGAAGGACGTTGTTTTTAGGGAGAAAACATAACTATTAATACACAATTAGTTGTCCAGTTGACTATCCAATTATTGATTTAACCGCTAACCAACTATTCAATATTTCAATTATTAATTAGATCGAAGTTCATTTCAATCCACGGGTAACCACACCATTAATTTATAATTTGTCCATTACGGAACCGATTGTGAAGTCGGCATGAAACTAGGGGTGGGCATCGGTTCGGTTCGATTAAAACCGAACCGAATTTGTGTATACCGGGTCCCTTATATCAGCCAAAATCCAAACCGATCCCGAACCAAAATATATGTCGGTTCGGTCCGGTTTCTGCCCCAAACCCGAAACCTTTTCCATTCCCCTTAATTATGGATCTGTCAACCCATTTCCCCCACTCCATCTCTCTCTCTTCCGTTCATTTTCCCCTCTCTGTATCTCTCTCCTTTCTTCCACTTAGCCTGAACGATAAAATCAACACTAAAAAGGTAAAAATCAATAGAAGAGCGTGCTCAGGGAAGGAAAGGAAGCGGTTGTAGGCATGGCGGCGGGGAAGAATGACGAGTGAAGACGAAGAGAGGACAGGCCGACAGGGAAAAGCACGTTGCCGTCGGTGCCGCCCTCTCTGCTGCAGGATCATCCGCCGTATATACACTTCTTCTCCTTATCCCGTTCTTTCTCCTTCAGAGTTCGGATCTGGAAGAAGTAATGGCGTCCTGCTTTGGATACTCTTCTCCATCTAGTGGCGACGGCGACAGTGAGAGATGATAAAATGAGACATGATGGCTGGTTGGTAGCATGCATCGCATGCATGTTGTTGTCGGCAGCGAGATTGAACAGGAGGAAACTCCCTCTGCCGCCAAGAATCCCTCCCGAGATCTGTGTTCGCCGCCATCGAAGGAGCTCAAGGATATGTGTTGGTTTGGAAATAAGGAGGAGGTTGAGGGTTGGCGGCTCTGTTAGGGTTATGGGGGAGTAGGCTTGGGCCTTGGATTTTGAGTATGTGGGCTGAGATGAGAGACTGGGTTTTGAGTATGTGGGCTGAGATGAGATTGGGCTGGGAGAGGGCTTGAATGCTAGGTTGATTAGTATGTTCGGTTTTTCGGTCGGATAATCGGAATTTCGGGTTCGATTGAGCTATCTTGGTTTCCAAAATGTAAGAGGTTGCCTTCCGAATTCCGAACCGAATTCATATTATTCGGTTTCGGTTCGATCTTAATCGGTTTTGGTCCGGTTCGGGTTTACCGAACCGGATGCCCATCCCCATGAATGTGAATTGGGCTAGTGGCCCACTAGGCAGGCTCAATGACTACTGAGAAGAAGTGAGAACAGTGAGAATGCAAAATGGAGGGAAGGTGGGGAGGAAGGAACCATGTAAGCGTCCACGTCACGACGTGGAAGGGAAAGCGTGTTTGATCTTTTCCCTCAACCGTGGGGCGAGGTTGACTTTTCTCCAACTTGTGGCGCAAGCAATTAAAAGTATTCTAATCTAAAAACCTCAATTTATCCTTTTCTCCCCCCAACTCTCACATCCACTGCATCAGCCGCCGCCCATCCAATCTCTTTGACCAATTCAATCTAAAAAAGAAACAGTTTAAATTATTAAAGTTCCCACTTGCCACGGTGACGCACGCATCATCGCAGCTCTGATGTCATCCCTCCAATTAAACCTCTGCGGTTGTGCCTAACAGATGCGGCGGCGGCTTTGGACCGTCGTCCCTGGCCGTCCTCTGTTCCACATATTATCCCCCAAATCGGGATAAACATTGAAGATAAGCTAGTAAATAAATTTGTATACACAAAGTACAGTCTTTAGATATTTCCGATGAAATAAAATGAAATTAACCAGTATTTTTATCTCAAATATTTCATTGTAAAGTTAGGTTGAAATTAGGAGGGGTTTGTAGCTCCACTCAATTTTTAAATATAATCAAAATTACATGTAAAATTCGTATCAAATTTAAAAAATAGAAATTCAATAAAGCGTTAGCCATCTTACCAAATTTAAACACTCGATTACTATTAAGAGTTCGTTGTGTACCTTTGCTTTGCCCTTTTCATTCAAAGGTAGGAGAGAATAGCTGCTTCTGCAATACAACTAGAATCCCTCCCGACATCACCAAATCCAGCAACAATATAAATCCATATTCTGTGTCACAGAAATAGAAAAGATGGATTGAATTGAAGAGCTGATTTCTTTTTCTTCAGAAATAGTAACAATTATAATAGCGGCCGTGTGTGATACAAAAAAATTGATTCGTGGATCTGCCGACAGCCACGAACCAATTGGCGGCCGCTGCCAAAATCCTAAACAAACAAACAACACACAATTTGGAATATACAAAAACCCAGAAAGTTACAAGATCTACATCCCAAAAACAAACACTCTTAAGAACCGCAATTAATTAATCAATCAATCCAATCTAATATACCGTTAAACCTCCTCCATCCTGAAAAATTTTCAGCACAGCAGCGATTCCAGGAACAATTCATCTCTTGGTTCATCTTTAGTCCTGCTATTACCACCGTAACCTCCCATCGGATTCCCCATCAACGCCGAGAACCCGAAACTCCCCTGTTCTCGCTCTCGCACGGCAGCTGGTGCTACTACCATCGCCCTACCGGCCGCCGAATGGCCCCCGCCGCTGCCGCGAGCAGCGGGGACGTCGTGGTTGTGCTTCCCTTCATAAGTAGTGATCACAGATCTCAGATCGTGGGAAGCCCTCTCCACGTGCTTCCTCACCGGACACCCACTGTAAGTGCACTTGTAGTAGCTCCTCGGATTCGGATTCCCCTTCACCACTTTCTGCCCGTACTTCCTCCACCTGTAACCATCGTCCAGAATGTCGATGTCGCTCGTCGTCTGCACCACGACCCTCGGCTCCCTCACCGTCTTGCTCCCCGTCCCTGTCACCGCCGCGGCAGCCGATGATGAAGACGATATCCCTTCATTCATCATCATCTCCCCGTCTCTTCTCCATCTCTTGGCATCGGGTTCGTCCTCGTCGATCTCGTCCAACCTGTTACTATTGATCCTGTGGGAATCGAAATCGTCGGAAATTGAAGAGTTCTCCGGGGTTTCAATCTGGCCGAAGGACCGGTCCTGAGAGTGAACCGAATTTGCTGTTGTTGCTGTGGGAATTGATGTGGCGATGGAGGCCGCAGATGATGAGGTTCGGCGAGTAGCAGATTGAGGCTTTGGATGGTTGTGGCTGCCTTTGTAGACGATTTCGGTTACCTGCCCGTCCAGCAACGATCGCTCCAATTTCTTCTTGGTCGGGCAATTGGGGAAAGTGCACTTGTAGTAGCTCCTCGGGTTCTCGCTCCCTTTCACCTGCTTCTGCCCGTACTTCCTCCAGTTGTACCCGTCCTCCGCCCTCCTCTGCTCCCTCACCGACTGGTAACCGCCGCCGCCGCTGCTATTGTTGTTGTTGTTCTCCGCCGCCGCTGTCTTCTTTGTCGTCTGAATCGCCGAAATCTCGGGCGGAGAAACGCTCTGCGTCGAATTCCCGGCAGCAAATCCGTTGCTCTGCTTCGATACGACTTCTTGATAACTCCATCCCTAACAAGGTCAAATCCGGAACAATTAAGATATTGAGATTTGAACACATATCATTTTTGGAACGACAATTGAGAAGACGAAGTTACTCGACTGAAAGTAGAGCAACGAAGTTGGAAAACATACCGTAGCGGGCGGGTGGAAGGAGAAGTCGGAGTAGCTTTTCTCTTCTTCTTGCTTGACGTTCTGATTGCGGGAATTGGTACTCCAATTGAACGCGTGAGCTGGGAAAGATCCTGTGGTTGGCGACGGAAGAATCTGGAGACAAGAACGACGACGACCACGACGACAACAACAAAAAAAAAACAATCAATCAAACGAGCAGAAAATGGAAACGAAATTGAGGGATTCGGAGGTGGTAAAATACGTTGGAGGAGGTGAGAAGAACAGGGGAGTCGAGTAGCTCGGCCGGGCTGAGGCCGGGAGGGATGGCGAAGTAAGAGGAAGGTGAGACGGCGGGCGGGGAAATGGGGAGGGAAGGAGGCGGGATGGATTTGAACTTGGGGACGCCGGAGCCGGTTCGATTGGCGATTCGATCGGCGAGGGCGGAGCGGCGGGGCGGCGGTGGTTGGTGGTGGTGGTGGTCGGGGGAAGAGGAGGAGGAGAGGAGGTCGGAGAAAGGGTGGGAGGAGAAAGTGAAGACGGACTGGGAATTGGCGGATGTGTCTAAGCTTCCTGAAGAAGTAGCCATCGAGAGAGAGAATGTGGTGGGGATTGGTCGATTAGAGGTTGGAAGAAGGAGGAAGAGGAGAGAAATATATTTGGTGGAGGGAGTAAGGTTGAAGGGGATATTGGTGAAATGGGAAGGTGCCGTGTTGAAGAAGGAGTGTGTGTTTTTTTCAAGTTTGGTGATTGGTTGGAATTTTTTTTGTTTCCCTTAGTAAGATAGGAGGAAAAAAAGGAAGTGGAGTGGTTTTCTGGGAAGGTGAGGGAATGGCAAAAATTATGGTTGTCACACCGCTAATATGCTCGAGTTCGATCGTATAATTGGATTCAATTTCTGCCGGATACAATTAGGTTGGAAGATTATTAATATGAAGTGAGAGTTAAAACCGGTAAAAAGTATAATGATTTCTCATTTTTTTTTAATGTCGTATTTTATATATATATGAATGGGGATGGAGATTATAGGTAGATTTTGTTAAGATCAGGGTTCAAGAAGGCGCTAGGCGTAAGGCGGGCGTGGGGACCTAGCCTAGCGCCTTGCTTGTCTAGGCGTAGACTAAGCATGCCTAGGCGTTGAAGAAAATATAGCATTTTGTACTACATGAGAAATGAAATAACAATTTGCTACACGTTCATACTTTTGTTTAAATGATTAATAACTTATTTAACACTTAACAATAAGATAATTAGCTAACAAGTTCATAAATCATAGCTCAAGAGCTCATCATAAATAAAAATATCTTTTTTTATTAAAAAAATTATATATCTATATGAGTCGATATATCCAAATTCTCGCCTCATGATAAATTACACAAACTAAATATGACCTATTACGGAACAACTATAGGTATCGAGATACCCCGAATCTTTCCATTACCATTGTTACCCTTACCCACTCAAAGCATCCCATGCCAGAGTAATTACACACCCGTAAATATTACCACAATAGCAATTAAATTCTCAGAACAAAGCTTCCCCACAAACCCACAAACATAGTTAGTAAATACTCCATTTAATATACGTATATGTATCCATACGTATTTTATGCGTTTAAAATTTCCGTATTCGTATTATTGTCAAGCCGTTCCATTTTTATACGTTTATTTGATGACTCCCGTACTAAACACGTATAAAATCATATAATACGTTTAATATTCGTGTTTAATGAATGAAATTGTAAATTTTACAGTTGTTTATATATGTATTTATTTTTAAAATAATTAATTTTATTTATTTATCACTATTAACGTACTATTAAACATAAAATTAGCTTAAAAATGAAATAAAATACCCGTAGTTATTTTATACGTAACTTTTCCGTACCGTATTTTACCTCCCCAAACTCTTGCACGAAGCTAAAAGAAAATACTTGGCCGGATCAGTTACAGTTCATTAAAATTCCAATACGTACAAACAATGTACACAACGTTTCCCATAACCGGATGGATAAAGAAAGTAAATAAAACCATGATGCCATGATGGACAAAATGATATTCTTTGGCGGAAGTGCCTTGCGCGCTTTTTGCTCCGCCTACATCCAAAGCGCAGCGATCTCCAGCCGCCCAGCGCTCAATTGCGCCTAAACGAGCGCCTAATAACGCTTTTTTGAACACTGGTTAAGATAGATAATATAGATTCACTATTCATTTGGTATTAATGTTTCTCCTCTTTTCATATGCTTTTATCAGAACTAGTATAAACCGTCATATAAATTGATTGTACTTCATTCGAAACATACTACTTGCTAAACAAACATAACGGTATAAATCAGTCATGACTACTTAGTATAGGCAGTTCATGAAACATTTTCATATTAATTTGATCCAATTGTCTTCCTAATATATCGAGTTTGAGTTGCAAAATGGAATGAGATGGCTAGAGCCTAAAATTGCCATTTGAGTAGTTTAGTGCAAACATTAGATGACCATCTTGTTAAAAATAAAAATAGATTGAGTGTTCACTTGTGAACCCAATTGTAAAGGGACCCTTTTTGTAATTAATCCGCGTGTAAAGTGAAGCAATGGAAGGCAAGTTGAGTTGAGTTTATGTCGAGGGTCAATAAAATCGTTGGTTTGACTAAATGGCGGCTCTGGCACCCACGCATTTATTAATATCTCCCACTTTTGAGGTCGGTTTAATTGTGCGAAGATAACGAAACCACATGACATTAAAGCACAATAATAGACCAAATATAGTTGGAGAGTCTAACCTAGTTGTTTACTTATACCAATAGTTATTTATAATTAAGTTTCTTCGGTGATTTTTGTTTCATATATTTTGTTTATTACTACAGTGCCAAAATCATTGATTTTTGTTTACTCTCTCAAGGGATGGATGGGGCAAGCCATTTTTATGCAGCCTACTGGTGCTAATTAAGCAACAACAAACTGCCCGCTGAAAGAAACGATTGAATCATAGTATTTTTTTTTTGAGTTAATACCTTAGTTTGGCCCGAACTATACTCATACTTTCTACTTTGGTTCGTGGTATTGAAAATTGCTATTATGGCCTGAACTATGTAGCAAACTTCCTCATTTGGCCTGGAGGTGGGTTTGACCGTCAAATTAGACGGTCAAACCTGTTGACCGTTAGTCAATGTACACCTCACCCGCCACGTCAGCTTTGAAGAAATAAAAAAAATTAATTTTTTTCTTTCGATTAATAATATTAATAATTCTTATTACCAAAAAAAATAATAAATCTAAAAAAAATAATTAAAAGAACGAAAAAAGCCAAACACGAATGCAGATCTCGACACGTTCCGACTGTCTCTTCTTCAAATTCCTGATCGCCGTCGCCCTGATCATCTTCAACGGCCGCAGAAGAAACCACCTTCTCTTCACAAACGCCAGACTCCCTGCAACTCTCCTCTGTTTCCTCAATTCTAGATGGCTTCTTCTCAATTCCACAAACGGATTCATCAAAACCCTTTTCAAGCACAGATTTCGCCTCCTTCGTAACATCATCGCTCTTCACAACAACAACGACCTTCGATTCCAATTTCACCGGCGAATTCACAGCTTCTTTCCCAGAATTGGCAGCGGATCTCACCTTCCCAATCTGAATTGGGGAAACAATGAAAACTCCTTCAGATCACCCCTTCTTGCTCACCTGAACGAGACTCCTCGCAATTCCCTCATTACTCCCTTCAGATCTCAACTTCCTCCCCTAAATCGGCGATTTCTTGACTCCATCGGCTGACGCACTCAATCTCGCCAGCTGAGTTGGACCCTCGAAGCTCTCCGACTTCCACGTCTTCCTCTTCCCGCTGCTCGCCACCGTTCCCGTTGCGAGGTTCCTCGGCGACCTCCTCGGAGGAAGAAATTGGTTTCGGAGAAGGGATAGGGATTCCTTTTTTCCCGATTTTTTGTGAGGGGGAGGGTATAAATGGTGGCTGGTGGCTTTTTTTCATTTTTTTCGTTCTTTTAATTAATTTTGTAGAGTTATTTTTTTGTAATAATAATTATTAATATTATTAATCGAAGAAAAGAAATTAAAAAAATAATTTTTTATGTCCTCAAAGCTGACGTGGCAGGTGAGGTGTACATTTACTAACGGTCAATAGGTTTGACCGTCTAATTTTACGGTCAAACTCGCATCCAGGCCAAAGGAGGAAGTTTGGGCACGGGATAGCATCACAACCCCCATAGGGGTTGTGATTTTCACGTCCCACTTCCCAGCCATTAGATCCACGATCTCTCTTGGTTTTTCAAATTAACGGTTTAGATTAAATGAAGGATATTTTTGGAAGAGAAAAACTTACCACACAGGATCCTTTCTCATTTTCTATATAATCTGATTTCCAAAAAAAAAAACTATTCCTCTCTCCCCTCTCTCTCTTTCCTCTCCCGAGAACCCTAACTACTCTCTGTCTCTCCCTCCCGTTGTCGTCGCCGCCGCCGCCGCTGCCGCCGCCCCCTCCCGTCGCCACCGTCGTCGTCTTTCCCTCCCGTCGCCACCGCCACCATCTCTCCCTCCCTCCGCAGCCGTCGCGTCCTCCGCCTCCCACCATCGCAGCCCTCTCTCCTCCCTCCAACTCCTGTCACCGCCATCTCTCTCCCGCCGTCCTCCTCAGCCGCCGCCGCTAGGTAACAACCTCTCCCCTTCCTTCTCATTTCCTCATTCCTTAATTTTTTTCCAGATCTGGGATTTTCCAGATTCCGGATCTTGTTTTTTTATGTTATTCTCTAGTGGTACTGATTTCTGTCTAGTGGTACGCTACCAGTGGTAGTGGTAGCGTACCATTAATCAGTGGTAGCGGTACCAGTGAGTAGTGGTACTGATTTCTGTCTAGTGGTACGCTACCAGTGGTAGTGGTATCGTACCACTATTCACTGGTAGCGGTACCAGTGGTAGTGGTAGCGTACCACTACTCACTGGTAGCGGTACGAGTGGTATTTGTAGCGTACCACTACCACTAGTACGTATCACAACTACTGGTAGCGTACCACTAGATGAAAATCAGTACCACTAGCACACTGACGGAGTGGTTTTTTTGCAGTTGGCCGGATCGAGTCTGATTGGAGGATTTCACCGGAAAAATTCGTCGGCCAGAGAAACTTTGGTGGTCGGAGTGAAGAGGTTGCTGGAAAAGAAAGAGAGAGAGAGATATAAGCGTATTAATTGTAGGATTTGAATTAAAAAAGTATTTAATCTGGGTTTTTAATTCCCAATCTGTAATTAATACAAAAATAAATAAATAATAAATTCTGTTTTTTTTCATACCCAAATTGCCCTTGGATGTGAATCTCACATCCCTCTTAGGGGATGTGATGGTATCCCAACCCGGAAGTTTGCTACATAGTTCAGGCCATAGTAGCAATTTTCAATACCACGGACCAAAGTAGAAAGTATATGTATAGTTCGGGCCAAACTAAGGTATTAACCCTTTTTTCTTCTTACATTGATTCCTCCCTTTTAATTCCTTCAATTATGGCTGTAAATACTTTATTATGTTCTCGCTACCGTACTTTGTTACTACTACGCAGGGATTGAGTTAAGATACCTGCAAGCAACTTCAAGATATTAACAAAGTGGATGCCAATTTAGTTTTCGTCAAAGAGGTGTTGTTTTAAAGCACTGGCCCAAACCGATATCTATCT